GATATTAGTATGACATCTGGTGAATAACAACGGATGATATTAGTATGACATCTGGTGAATAACAACGGATGATATTAGTGTGACATCTGGTGAATAACAACGGATGATATTAGTATGACATCTGATGAATAACAACGGATGATATTAGTATGGCATCTGATGAATAACAACGGATGATATTAGTGTGACATCTGGTGAATAACAACGGATGATATTAGTATGACATCTGATGAATAACAACGGATGATATTAGTATGACATCTGGTGAATAACAACAGATGATATTAGTGTGACATCTGATGAATAACAACGGATGATATTAGTATGACATCTGATGAATAACAACGGATGATATTAGTATGACATCTGATGAATAACAACAGATGATATTAGTATGACATCTGATGAATAACAACGGATGATATTAGTATGACATTTGGTGAATAACAACGGATGATATTAGTATTACATCTGGTGAATAACAACGGATGATATTAGTATGACATCTGGTGAATAAAGTGGATGATATTTTTGCAGTACCTCTTTTATTGTTATGGTCTGACCGACTTTTCTAAATTAGCAAATAATGATTACAATAAACAATAAATGTTCTAAGACATTAGTATTAGTCTTATTACATTTGTAACACTACATTCTTTTTTCAGCACCTTAGGGTTTTTCAAGAAGAAGAGGAGTTTATTATAGTATTTCAATAACACTGTATGCTATATATCCATTACCGACAACGCGATTCTTTAAATGAAAGCTCATGAAACTGTCTGGAACACAATAGATACAGTAGTGGTCGGAACACTTTCGATATAAAGGACAGAATAATAAATGTAGTGTTAAAATATAATAGATGAAACACTAATGTCTTATGGCTAGTATGATTAAATATTTTATATTGTTATTTTATGCATTTTTCGATAGCACAAAGAAATAACTTTCCGACTTCCAAATCCTTGATTAGATTTATATATGCACAGTTTTTAAGTATTCATGCTCGTATTAGTAGAAGTTATTAGATTTTTGACGTCATCATCATTGCGAACTTTTTTGATACTCTACGACTATTTTCATGAATTTAATTGATTTTAACATCACGTGCTCTCTAGCAATCATCTAAATAAAAAACAAAGAAAATATCGCTTACAACACTATCCACTACATGGACTGTGAAGTCCCTTTGGAAGTCCTGATACAAAAATAAGCCACTACACTAAGCTGTTGTTTCCACAAGTCTTTTTGATGGTTTTCTTTTACGATGGTTATGGAAACCTAATGAGGTGGTTTCTTGATCCTTGCTGTCACTTGCATGTCTTGTAATTTGGGAAATTCCTTCTGGGAAGGAGGTCAAACAAATCCACTGGTTACTATATTTTTGTTGTTGTTGTTCTTCTTCTTCTGGAGATGATGTCGACAGAAACTCTGTACTCCTCAGCAAATTGGCTTTCCACTGACAAATTCTTCTCCAGAGTTACTTTGTTGGTCATTCTTTCACCGATGTGCTTCCAAAGCTGATCACAGTGGATGATCTTTATCTTTGATTGCCTGTCCCTCTGGATTCTCTAAATCACAACATTGATTCGTTAATTCATTACAACGTATGGCTCTTTTCATCATCTGCTTAAGTTTCGAGTTCATCCTTTCTTGCTGTATGGATTGTACTGCCATACCATGTTTCAACAGCATTAACATCATAGTGACTTTTCATTTTATCACTAGGTGATTTAATTACGTTTTTCTGTGTTAAGTCATGTTGGACCTCAAGTAGGTATAGAATCTTCAATGGCACTTTAAGTTCTATTCCAAACATTAGTGATGATGGTGTGTTGCCTGTAGCTTCATGTACTACTGTTCGATAATTCATCAGTAATAGTGGAAGATCTTGAACTCACATGTTTTGATGTTAATCCACGTAAATGGCTAATTCATTTAACAATATACTGCAGTATCTCTCCATTTTGCCATCAAAAGACGGATAAAAGGCTGTTGTCCTTGTCTTTTTTATTCTGAAGATCTGACTTTTCCACAAACAAGGTTGATTCAGAGTTCCATACCTGATAGGAGTGAAGTTTCATTGGCAGGCCAGACCTTGAAATAAAACTATTAACAATTTTTCTTGCTAGAGCTTCTGCTTTCTGGTTTGAACTACAATATGATTATAGCCATTAGGAGAAACAGTTGCTCTAGGGGGTTGCAGGTTTTCCAGTTGCTCCAGTTCTTCAGCTAATTCCAGAGATATACAAGGACACAGAATGGCAGTTTCCATATATGTGCAAGACTTGAATTACACTAACTCTGCGTAAGTTTTAATTGCTACTTTTCTTTAACTGATAATATTGCCAGGAGGAACCATGATGTATAATGTAAAAGTTTACTAAGTAATGTAGATAAGGCGTTACAGTTAAAGTTACAGTTACAGTTTCTGTGGAAAATTAACCAACGAATACACGGACGTAACAATATAAATGCACTCTTCGTTGATGTAAAGTATGCACATATGATGTGTAGAGAAACTTTCTACAATAAGGGTAAATTCCAACTGTCCTCTTGCTGGAACTTTATGTTCACGTCAATCAATCTTCTCCCTTCCATTTTTCAATACCAAATTAGGCAGAACTATTGTTTCTGTTGAACCAACATACTGCAAGGCTTCCCAATAATAGACCAATGTATTGGTTTCTTCAAACAGTAAGCTTCTTATTTCATTTGAGATAGATAACGTATTCTAAAGTGAACTTCACCCCATAAGTTCAGCTAATTCCTGTTTCCCGATGTCTGGTTAGCTCTTTGTTCTTCTTTCAATTTAGTTTAGTTCTAAGACTCATCCTTAGGGTATTGTTACGACAGCGGAGGTCACGTGACGCCAGTAACACGTCATGAACTTCTAGAAGAATCCTGTCCCTTCCTGAAATCTCGAGAGCCTACTAGATATGCGGTAGTCTTGTATATATAAACCTGTAAGAACTGACGGCAACAATGTAATAGGTAATTGAACTGCGGACAGAGAGAGAGACATATTGTTGAGTCGAGTACGTGAGACGTTCGTTGTGAATTATAGCGTTTGTTATAGCGCGACTGTGGAAATTAAGTGTATTGCAAAGTTGTATTCAAAGAGAATAAAACAGTTTTATTTAAGAAAGGACTTGTATCGCTAAAGTTTCTTCGGAAAGAAGTTTTACGGAAAATTAACTAACGGAGGCATAACAAACTGGTGTCAGAGAGTGGGACAGAAAAGAAAAACAAATGGAAACGAGAAGCGGCTAATCAAACTACAGCTTAGCAGATTTGATGGCAGCAATACGAGAACAGCAAAAGAAACAAGAAGAACGAGAAAAGAAACAAGAAGAGAGATTACAGCAGTTGTTGGAGGAAAAAGAAAAGAAACAAGAAGAGAAATTACAGCAGTTGTTGGAGGAAAAAGAAAAGAAAC